ACAGCGATACTTTGTTGTGTTCAGCGGTAGCTGAAAATGCTCTAAACGACAACGTCAAGGTTGCAGTTTAGAGGCAGCTTGCTGAGTAAACTGACACAACAAGAAGGAGGAAGAGCTGCAAACGCTAGAAGAGGCCGCGAAAACAGACAAGACAGGCTGGTTCAAGCGGACAGGCTGGTTGGCGTTCTTCAAGGATCGAAATCTTGTTCATCTGGCCCATCAAGCCCGGGCTCCCGATCGGAGCGAACACAAGCTCAAGCTAGCTGCTCAGCTGGCAGAGGGACTGATTAAGCGAGAAGCGTTAAGGGATTGGCTACGCTTCCGCAAGAACTCAGGCGCTGGCTGCGGAGCGCAAAGCAGAGCGAGATCGACGTGCGGCGTTGGGGCGACTGCAGAACCCAGAGAGTCAGGCTGTGTACGCAAGCTATATAGTGAGGTTTGTCTGCTTCTATCTACGCGTGCTAGGAGATGAAGAGCAGCAGATTATGCGTTTCCGACAGCAGCGCGACACAGCTGCTCGATCTGAAAGCAGTGCGGCGTGAGCAGCGACGAAGACAGCGAAGACGAAGCGGAAGGCAGTGAGGCTGACGACACAGCCTGCGGCCCTGGCGCAGGACACGCAGTTAACAGGCACCAGACATGATGAAGGACACGCGCGAGCTCTTCACGTGGACAGCTGAGCAGAAGTTGTATGCGATCAGGCTGTGGGACGCGCTAGATGGGCGACGACAGAGGCGCTCAGACGGGGCGCTTCTTGCGTCTATCAGCTTGTTCATCTTCACGACGTATCATCTGTGGCGTTGTCTACTGGTTTGATTCAGTTTCTTGCAGTGCGTGCTTGGGATGTTGATGTAGACAGGGCCGCTTGCGGACTGCAAAGAACTACTCGTACAGCTGCTGGCGATGGGTGTACTGCGTGCGGGTGCTCGCTCTAGAGAAGCTGCTCCCAGGAGGGCAGCGCGACACGCAGACAGAAGAAGACCGCGACAGTTTTCTGGCAACGCGGCACAAGCAGCTAGCAGACGGCACGTTCAGCCCGATGAGCGAGATGATCAGCATGCTGGCGTACGGCAAACACATTGGACTTACAGCCGGCAACTCAGGCAACGCTTACTGGTCAGAGGACAAGCAGACGTTCTATCTGAACGGCCGACTGATCGTCATCCGCCGCTTCTGCAAGATGGCGCAGGACTTGTTGGCTGAAACAGAGCAGATGTGTGGGAGCTTGCTGGGTGGACGGCGAGGAAGAGCGGGTTACCGTTGATTTGAAGCAGGTAGTTGACGACGTCACGTTTCACAAAACGACGCACGTCGTTTGTCGACGCTCCAGGCAACAAACTGCAAGGCGGGCTACCGATATAAGGGCGCGTGGTGGAGGACACCAAATCGCAGCGAAACAGGTTTAGCGTTAGGGTTTTCGCTTAATCAAGAAGCACATTTTGTGGTGGTCCCTCGCGCAACCCTAACACCCCTGAATCGCGATCAATTTTTACTTGGATCAAAAAAACGTCTCATACAAACTCGATTTCTACGTACTTTGCGCAGCAACGCTAAGCGTTTGGTCTGTAACTTTAGTAAAACGCAGTGCTGTTTTGGTAAGTAGGGTTAGGGTTTCTGCACAATGGAGCTTGTGTGGGACAGCCGAGCAACAGCACCCTAACAGGCAAAACATTATAAGCAGCAACACTGCGAACTCCCGCAAGTGGCTGCAGCAGCTTGCGCTCAGCAACTGCGACAGCGTATTTAGCTTTCTTGAAGACTTTAGTGTTATTGTTTGCAAGCAGCACTGCACAGCAGTAGTGAGTCTGATGCGCATCTCTGTAAACACCATGCTGCATCTGCTGCGCTACGGACAAATACTTGAGCGCTTCAGTCAATTTAAGACTGTCGCTCTAAGCGCAATTGAGCTCCTGGACGAGCCCGCGCAGCCGCTGGACGAGCTGGAGACCGCTTGATGGTGCGCAGTGCAAGACGTGCAGCTGGATTACTGTTAACAAAGATGAGATGCGCAGGCATTGCAAGAAAAAAACACCAGCAAGCTTGGGTAGAGAGAGAAAAGCTGCTCTATGATATAGTAATAGTGCAGAGCTTCTTTTGCACTGGGGGGCTGCAAAAATATTTTATTGTTAAGGCTGGTGCTGTTGAAAATAGGCAAAATTCAGACCTAAATCAGGTGGTTGAAGAACAACTTAATGCATGGCGCCAGGTGCGAAATCAGCTTGAAGAAGATATACAGGTTATGGGCAACGCTGCAAAGACTGATAAAACCGGCTGGTTCAAGCGAACAGGGTGGTGGAGTTCTTAAAAGGCCGGAATTGTTATCTAGCCCATCAAGCCCGCTTACCTGACCGCAACGAGGTGAAATTGCAGGCAGCTGCTCAGCTAACAGAGCAGCTGATTGAGAAGTGCGTCAGAGGCTTAGCAACGCTTCCACAGGAAACCCGGCGATGGCTTCGTAGTGCGCGGGACAGATATCGATTAACAACTGCTGGCGCGACTGCAGAACCCTGAGAGTCGGCGACGTACGCTGGCTATATGGTCTGATTCGTCTGCTTCTATCTTCGCATCATCGCAGATGAAGAGCGCCAGATGGACAAGTATCTATCGCAGAGAGATCAGGCTATTCACAGCAGCGAGGAGTTAAGCGGCGATGGTGCTGGCACAGAGAGCGAGTACAACGACAGCAACGACGACAACAATGCTGATAGCGACGGCAATGATAGTGTTGTGCTAGAGCGCTGACCGCGTTAAAAAGCGCTGACAGACATAATGAAGGATGCGCGTGAAGTGTTTAGCTGGAAGGAGGATTAGAAGGCGCTGGCGATTGGCTGTGGATTGCTCTTGATAACGGTGACGAGCAGCTCAAATCACTGTTCTGCTGGACTTGCTGAGTTTGTTCATACTTACGAGCTATGGCAATGAGGTGTTGTTAGCTGGATTGGTGCAGTTTCTTGCTGTGCTAGGATAGACACCAAGACAAAACGCTTGCGCACTGCAAAGAACTACTTGTATATGCTAGCAGGGATGGTGTATTGATTGCATATGGGTGGTTGGAGTTGAGAAGCTTCTTCCAGCAGGGCGCGATGAGCAGATAGAAGAAGCGCGGGACAGGTTCTTGGAAATGCGCAAGAAGTATCTGGCCAACGGCTCGTATAGTCCGACGAGTGAGATGATCAGTCTTCTAGCATATAGCAAACACGCTGCGCTGAACAAAGGCAATGCTGGCAACGCGTACTGGTCACTGGACAAGAAGATCTTCTATCTCAACGGGCGGCTATCCGGGCGGAGCGCCTATCCAATATGAGGTGACGAGAGAGGCCCTATCCAATATGAGGTGACGAGAGAGGCCCTTCTCGCAGCAAAATTAGCTTAATATCGCTTAGCGTTAGGGTTTCGCACTAAAATTAAGGAGGCGACTCGTCAAATTCATGTACCCAACTCATCAGAAACAAAGCACTGCACAGCAATTTCGCTCATACAAAGTCGTCTTGTACGCGTCTGAATATGCGCCGGTATTGTTGTTTTTAACAAATTACAGATCTACTGACACAGCAGGGTTAGGGTTAACTTGGGGTTAATTAGGGCTCACGATGGAGCTAGTGTGGGACAGCCGTCTGTCAACACCGCAAGAGCGAGTTAACACAACAAGCAGCAGCGCACAACGCCGTAAAAGAGGCTTGCAAGTATCGCTTGACAATTGCGATAAGATTCTTGCTTTTGCAAGAGTTTGGTTGTTTAGTATGCAGGGAGCATTACACTGCTGTTGTTAATCTTAACACGCATCTCTTTGCCAGCATCACAGTGTGCATGCAACTGAAAACAAGTTGTTGAACGCTTCAATTAATTCGCGCTAGTGATGCAGCAGACGTTGAGCTTCCAGATGAGCCGGGCGACCGATAGAAGAGCTTGGGAAACCGCTAGACGGGCTGCAGTGCAAGACATGCAGCTTATCACTATCAACAAGGACACAATGCGCATGCACTGTAAGAAAGATCACCAGCAAGCTTGGCTAGGAGAAAGAGGCGCGCTCTATCACACTGTCAAAGTACAGAGCTTTTCCGCACAGGGGGTTTACAGCGATACTTTGTTGTTGATTCAGCGGTAGCGAAAATGCTCTAAACGACAACGTCAAGGTTGCAGTTAGAGGGCAGGCTGATATAAACTGACACAACAAGAAGTTGAGGAAGAGCTGCAAACGCTAGAAGAGGCCGCGAAAACAGACAAGACAGGCTGGTTCAAGCGGACGGCTGGTTGGCGTTCTTCAAGGATCGAAATCTTGTTCATCTGGCCCATCAAGCCCGGGCTCCCGATCGGAGCGAACACAAGCTCAAGCTAGCTGCTCAGCTGGCAGAGGGACTGATTAAGAGAAGCGTTAAGGGATTGGCTACGCTTCCGCAAGAACTCAGGCGCTGGCTGCGGAGCGCAAAGCAGAGCGAGATCGACGTGCGGCCGTTGGGGCGACTGCAGAACCCAGAGAGTCAGGCTGTGTACGCAAGCTATATAGTGAGGTTTGTCTGCTTCTATCTACGCGTGCTAGGAGATGAAGAGCAGCAGATTATGCGTTTCCGACAGCAGCGCGACACAGCTGCTCGATCTGAAAGCAGTGCGGCGTTGAGCAGCGACGAAGACAGCGAAGACGAAGCGGAAGGCAGTGAGGCTGACGACAACAGCCTGCGGCCCTGGCGCAGGACACGCAGTAACAGGCACCAGACATGATGAAGGACACGCGCGAGCTCTTCACGTGGACAGCTGAGCAGAAGTTGTATGCGATCAGGCTGTGGGACGCGCTAGATGGCGACGACAGAGGCGCTCAGACGGAGGCGCTTCTTGCGTCTATCAGCTTGTTCATCTTCACGACGTATCATCCTGTGGCGTTGTCTACTGGTTTGATTCAGTTTTTGCAGTGCTTGGGATTGATGTAGACACGGGCCGCTTGCGGACTGCAAAGAACTACTCGTACATGCTGGCGGGGATGGTGTACTGCGTGCGGGTGCTCGCTCTAGAGAAGCTGCTCCCAGGAGGGCAGCGCGACACGCAGACAGAAGAAGACCGCGACAGTTTTCTGGCAACGCGGCACAAGCAGCTAGCAGACGGCACGTTCAGCCCGATGAGCGAGATGATCAGCATGCTGGCGTACGGCAAACACATTGGACTTACAGCCGGCAACTCAGGCAACGCTTACTGGTCAGAGGACAAGCAGACGTTCTATCTGAACGGCCGACTGATCGTCATCCGCCGCTTCTGCAAGATGGCGCAGGACTTGTTGGCTGAAACAGAGCAGATGCTGTGGGAGCTTTGCTGGGTGGACGGCGAGGAAGAGCGGGTTACCGTTGATTTGAAGCAGGTAGTTGACGACGTCACGTTCACAAAACGACGCACGTCGTTTGTCGACGCTCAGGCAAAAACTGCAAGGCGGGCTACCCGATAAGGGCGCGTGGAGGACACCAAATCGCAGCGAAACAGGTTTAGCGTTAGGGTTTTCGCTTAATCAAGAAGCACATTTTGGTGGTCCCTCGCGCAACCCTAACACCCCTGAATCGCGATCAATTTTACTTGGATCAAAAAACGTCTCATACAAACTCGATTTCTACGTACTTTGCGCAGCAACGCTAAGCGTTTGGTCTGTAACTTTAGTAAAACGCAGTGCTGTTTTGGTAAGTAGGGTTAGGGTTTCTGCACAATGGAGCTTGTGTGGGACAGCCGAGCAACAGCACCCTAACAGGCAAACATTATAAGCAGCAACACTGCGAACTCCCGCAAGTGGCTGCAGCAGCTTGCGCTCAGCAACTGCGACAGCGTATTTAGCTTTCTTGAAGACTTTAGTGTTATTGTTTGCAAGCAGCACTGCACAGCAGTAGTGAGTCTGGATGCGCATCTCTGTAAACACCATGCTGCATCTGCTGCGCTACGGCGACAAATACTTGAGCGCTTCAGTCAATTTAAGACTGTCGCTCTAAGCGCAATTGAGCTCCTGGACGAGCCCGCGCAGCCGCTGGACGAGCTTGGAGAGCCGCTTGATGGTGCGCAGTGCAAGACGTGCAGCTGGATTACTGTTACAAAGATGAGATGCGCAGGCATTGCAAGAAAAACACCAGCAAGCTTGGGTAGGGAGAAAAGCTTGCTCTATGATAGTAATAGTGCAGAGCTTCTTTTGCACTGGGGGGCTGCAAAAATATTATTGTTAAGGCTGGTGCTGTTGAAAATAGGCAAAATTCAGACCTAAATCAGGTGGTTGAAGAACAACTTAATGCATGGCGCCAGGTGCGAAATCAGCTTGAAGAAGATATACAGGTTATGGGCAACGCTGCAAAGACTGATAAAACCGGCTGGTTCAAGCGAACAGGGTGGTTGGAGTTCTTAAAAGGCCGGAATCTTGTTTATCTAGCCCATCAAGCCCGCTTACCTGACCGCAACGAGGTGAAATTGCAGGCAGCTGCTCAGCTAACAGAGCAGCTGATTGAGAAGTGCGTCAGAGGCTTAGCAACGCTTCCACAGGAAACCCGGCGATGGCTTCGTAGTGCGCGGCAGACAGATATCGATTAACAACTGCTGGCGCGACTGCAGAACCCTGAGAGTCAGGCGACGTACGCTGGCTATATGGTCTGATTCGTCTGCTTCTATCTTCGCATCATCGCAGATGAAGAGCGCCAGATGGACAAGTATCTATCGCAGAGAGATCAGGCTATTCACAGCAGCGAGGAGTTAAGCGGCGATGGTGCTGGCACAGAGAGCGAGTACAACGACAGCAACGACGACAACAATGCTGATAGCGACGGCAATGATAGTGTGTGCTAGAGCGCTGACCGCGTTAAAAAGCGCTGACAGACATAATGAAGGATGCGGCGTGAAGTGTTTAGCTGGAAGGAGGATTAGAAGGCGCTGGCGATTTGGCTGTGGATTGCTCTTGATAACGGTGACCGAGCAGCTCAAATCACTGTTCTGCTGGACTTGCTGAGTTTGTTCATACTTACGAGCTATGGCAATGAGGTGTTGTTAGCTGGATTGGTGCAGTTTCTTGCTGTGCTAGGCATAGACACCAAGACAAAACGCTTGCGCACTGCAAAGAACTACTTGTATATGCTAGCAGGGATGGTGTATTGCATCTGGGTGGTTGGAGTTGAGAAGCTTCTTCCCGCAGCAGGGCGCGATGAGCAGATAGAAGAAGCGCGGGACAGGTTCTTGGAAATGCGCAAGAAGTATCTGGCCAACGGCTCGTATAGTCCGACGAGTGAGATGATCAGTCTTCTAGCATATAGCAAACACGCTGCGCTGAACAAAGGCAATGCTGGCAACGCGTACTGGTCACTGGACAAGAAGATCTTCTATCTCAACGGGCGGCCTATCCAATATGAGGTGACGAGAGAGGCCCTATCCAATATGAGGTGACGAGAGAGGCCCTTCTCGCAGCAAAATTAGCTTAATATCGCTTAGCGTTAGGGTTTCGCACTAAAATTAAGGAGGCGACTCGTCAAACTTCATGTACCCAACTCATCAGAAACAAAGCACTGCACAGCAATTTCGCTCATACAAAGTCGTCTTGTACGCGTCTGAATATTGCGCCGGTATTGTTGTTTTCAACAAATTACAGATCTACTGATACAGCAGGGTTAGGGTTAACTTGGGGTTAACTTAGGGCTCACGATGGGCTAGTGT